CCTTGTTCACCAGATCTGGCATCATGCAACTTCTGGCTCTTCCCCAAAGTCAAGACAACCACAAAAGGTAAGCACTTTGAGGCATTTCAGGACACTGAGGTATCCAGGGCAGCACAATTAAAGACTGGAAGATAAGGACTTCAAAACTCTGAGGCCATCCAAGGAAGGCAGCAACTGGTATTTCAAGTGTTGCCCCTTGGAACTGCCCCTGCCCCAATTTATTTACTTAAGAGCTTCTTAAATATATGTTCTGTTTATTTTCTTTTTTTGTTTTCAAGTTAGTGAATGGGTTGCTTTGGAGCAGCTTCTTACTCTGAAACCCTCGCTAGCTCTGGGTGATGCCTAATGTAGATCCTTATCTTCAAGACCTCTTAACGCCCGTCTGCTCTAGCTCAGGGCTCACCTGGTCAGTTAGTCTTAATCCTGCTGTGTAGGAGGAGGCTGTTACCTTGACCCAAGGAACTTACAGGCGGGAAGGCTGGCACCTCTTTCCCCTCAAGCCTCAGGCAGGACTCCATGTGACAGGTGGGGCTCAGTGTGGCTGGCTGAGACAATGCTTGTCCTCCCAGGACAAGCCTCATCTTCTGCAGCTGTCCTACCCAGGAGAGGTTTGCTGCAGCCTGTGTGCTTTTATGACTTTGGGATGAGGCGACAGGAAAACCATTGTCACATTGCTTTTCTGACTTTTACTCTTTCCCCTAATGTGAAGTACATAGTTGCCTTTATTATCCTGAAGTTCTGCTTAGAGTAACATCAGCTGCTATGGGTTCCTGTATGTCTTTGTACAAAAGGGAAAAAGAGTTTTTCATGGGTCCTTGGATCCTGCAGGTGGCATGGACCTATTCTTGACTGCTCATCCAATCTTACGTGCTTTCTATAGCTGGAGTCACCACTCTCCTGGGTCTGTCTAGGAATTATTCAGCCTGGCTTTGAATATTTTCAGAAAAGGAGAACTCATTCGCTTCAGAACAAGCACAGACTGAACAGAAATGTTTGAAAAAGTGCTCTGTTAAGTGGCACTAATGCCTTTATTCTTGTAACATGTACAAATTCATCTTATGTAAGAAACTTTGGACTCTGAAATCTGACAGCCCATTCATTCCTTCATATTATGAGCACCTTAAAGACAGCAACAAGCCTTTTCTGTCTTCACATCAGCAGCTTACAGAAGAGTGGTTGACGCATGTTAACACTGTTAAAGCCTGCTAGAGGATGGTTGAAGAAAGGCTGGCTGGAAGATGGATGGATGGATGGTTTATTTGGTTGACACTTTCTCTGCTGAATTCTTGCTCTGTGATCTCATAAAAATTACACAACATTTCTGAGCTTCATTTGCCTTATCTGAAAAATAGGTATGGCCATTTTGATTATTACAGTCCCCATCTATCCATCTGTCTATTCATCCATCCATCCATCCATCCATCCATCCATCCATGCATTCATCCATCCATCCATCCATCCATCCATCCATCCATCCATCCACCCATCCATCCATCCATCCATCCACTTGGTGCTTTCCTATGCAGCATGCTGTGCACTAGATTTAGGAAATTTAACAGTGATAAAACCAAAATACAGTGAAAAAAATGTGACTAGGTGTCCCATATTTTGGGGATATCATTAGTTCTGGCTCAGGAGAGTGACAGGAGGGTCCCAGAATTGAACCAGGCACTTAGCACAGGATCTGTCACACATACATGTACAAGACCTTTTAGTTCTCTTTCCCCACTAGCACACGTGCTATCCCATCTGCTACTGGAGACAATGACCAGACCGTGGTCAACTCTTTGCCCTTATACGTCTATGTCCAGGATGGAGGCAAAGGGGCAAGACGGGTACCTCTAGTGAGCGCTTGGCATGTGACAGAAGAAGTTGTCCTTGATTGTGTGGGTCGTGCATCATGGCCACAGCTCCAACAGGTAGGCACAGGCAGAGTCTCCTTGATGGCTCCCGTGTCCCACCACTTCTGCCTTTATCTGTTCTTCATCCACCTTTGTTCGCTTTGTTTTCCCATAAGTTACATTACTAAGGGAAATATCCTCTTCTTATCTTCCCAGTCTATCCATCTGCCCTTTTGCTCACCAACCCACCTACCGCCCTACCTACTTACCTACCTACCCACCTGTGACTTCTGCGTCTCTCCTTCAGATCCAGTAGAGAGCAGGAGCAGTATCTCTCTTGCTGCCCCCAGCCTGTCACATAGCTCTTCATCCACTTTTTACTGGTTTTTCTTATGTTATGGTTCTTACATCTTCCATTCAGTAGTTTTAGACCTGCACATCACCTCCTCCAGGAAGCACCTATACCCCACCTGATGCCCCAGACAACTGCAGCAGGTCATGCATCACATCTATCCTGAATCCTGCATGCATCTCCATTTCAACACCTAAGGCACTACACTGTGCCAGTATGCACACATGCCTGGTTCTTCCATCCTGACCCAGAGCCAGGCAGTGCGAGGCAATATCCACTTACACAGTTACCATGCTTAGTAGAGATTAGCTCATGGCCACTGATGTGATAAAGGTTTATAGAGCAGCCTGGTTGGAATTCAACTTTAAACAAAGTTGCAACCACAGCAGAGTGAAGCCTGGCCATATTGAGGGGATAGTGAACATGGGCCCACCTGGCACCTCATGAGGATAACACAGGGACATTCCCTGCTATTTGACTTTCTAAGGGCACCAAGCAAAGCTATAATACATGGTTCTCCAAAAGGTCTTTAATAAATGTCACTTGAGTGCTTTTGGCTTTTTGGACATCAATACTGTAGATCAACACCCACCACCTCCTTTCATCCTTCATCAAAGACAGATTAATGTTTGTTGAGTGATTCTCACATGCCTGGAGTTGTGACAAAGTACGTTGTAGAATTAAAACATATTAATTTTGCCCACCGCTGTACATGAGAGGTATTTTGTCACCATATTCCAGGGTTTACAAAGAGGCTCCCAAAGCATAAATAATGCCACCAAGATCATGTAGTTCATATCTACTGAATCTGAGTTGATCTAACTCCAAGCCTTTGTTGTTTGTATTTAACTACCTGTGAGTCACAGACTCACAGGAGAAATGGAAAATCTTAGAAGCCACTTGGTTTCTCCACTTAACACCCAGTGCGAGGATCTCTTACTCCACTGTTTTTACAAAAGCAGCCTTTGTTTATGCTGTTACCATACTCCTGTCTTCCTCATCACTGTTTCCTCAATCTTGTCTCCATCACCAGCATCATGACCACCATCATCCTCATCTTCTTCAGTATGTTCAACATTTTCAATATGTTAAATATTTTAAATCAGAGTTCAGATAATGGATTAATCACTTTTCAGCTGGGTGGGGTGGAACATGCCTGTAATCTCAGCACCTAGGAGACTGAGGTAGGAGGACTGTTGTGAGATTGAGTCCAGCCTGGGCTACAAAGTGAGCTCAAGGTCAGCCTGAACTGCATAGTGAAATCCTATTTCAAAAAAACAAAACAAAAATCATTTAAGTCACTTTTCCATATCCAATGTCCACAACTTAAAAGTGAGTTTAATTTGGCTTATTGTTTTGGGGGTTCAGTCTATGGTTGGCATGGAAAAGGGTTTGGTTGAGAAAAACTGCTCAACCTACAGCATCCAGGAAGCAAAAAGAGGTTAGGGAAAAACCAAGGACAGGAGTGCACCCTTCCAAATCATACCTCCCAGTGACTCACCTCTAACTAGCCCTTACCTCCTTACAGCATCTTTATCCAGGAACTCATCAATGAATTAACCCATTGATGAGTACAATACTCTCATGATCCAATCCCACCTCTGAAAGCCCCACTTCTGAGACTCTGGGGAGACATTCTAGACCTAAGCCATAACAGAGGAACCCAGCTTGGCCTTGGCTGCTGGGATTGCTCATCCTTCACTTGGTTTGCCCAAGGCGTTCTTCAAAAGGTCCATGATTCAGCCAACTGTACTTGACAGAAAGGTCTTTGGCTTGAGTCTCAGTGCACTGGCCACTGGAGTGACTCTGGCTGTGCTCTGTGGTGATCATTTAAATCCCTTGTGTGTGCCACAACTTTGAAGACAAGGCTTAGTAGGACCCATTTCTCATGGAAAGGCTGTGAATTTGCTTACTTGTGAAATTTCTTCAGATCAGTGGGTCTCAAGTGAATGAGTGAGCTAGTAGCTGTGCCAACCATGCAGTGGCTCAGATGATGACACTGAGAAAATGATGGAGGTCAACCTGCACACTGCACACTGCCCATACAAAATGTGCAGTGGATGCTTATATTTAAAAAAATTATATTATAGTAAAAGACATATAGCCATTAATCACCCTCAAAATATTCCTCCTGGCTTTGAACACACTTCATCTTTCTTGTCATTTTCTGAAACTGTTCTGGAAGTTCTCTTTCTTGAGCTTTTTTATGAGGTGTGCTCAAAAATATGATTAGTCAAGCTGCCAGGTGCTGTCCAATGGGAAGGCAAGCTTGTAAAAACATGATGGTGTGTCCTTATCTACCTTAGTCACCAGATCTGGCACAGTGCAACTTCTAGTTCTTCCCCTCAGTCAAAGGGACCACAAAAGGGAAACATTTTTGAACAGATGAAGGACATCAAGGTAGCTCTGGTAACTCTGACAGTGCAAGTAAAGACAGCCATGAAAAAATTCTCCAGAGTTGCTTCAGAAAGTGGCAGGAATGATGGGAGAGTATTTTGAGGGAGATTGAAGACTGCACGTCTTCTACTGTAATAAATTTTTAAAATTTTACGGATCCCTCGTAATTTTTGACCACACTTCATAGAATGGAAAATAAGAACAAAGAAAATGAATCTATCTGAAATATTTTAAATGAGCTGAGAAATATGTATTCTACTAAAAATAGAGGGGGCATGACCTTTTTAAAATGTAGATGTGAAACCCGACTGAAGAATGCAGTTGGACCTGTGCATTATTGGTGCAACACTATTGTGACACCATTCTGGGTTCCAAAGAGAGGTGCATTGAGCGGGTGAGAATGGCGAGCAGTGAACTTGCTGCCTGGGAAAGAACAGAGGCTGAGGCAGTGTCCGGTTCACAGCGTCCGCAGAGGTGGGCAGCAAGGCCAGGGTCAGGTGAGCTCAGGCTGCTTCTTCAGACCCGACGTTTTGTTAGACCCTGGCTTATCCTTTAAGACAGGTTTTTAATATATGGGGTTCATAGCAGGGTAAGTGCTTATTCTATTATTTTAATCAATACTGAAATGATCACAGATACTTTATCAGTTATTCTTCAAAGAAATTACATATCACATTTGTTATTTACATAATGACCTAATCATGTTCAGTTTCAAAGGGAATGAAATATGAAGCTCTCTGGAAGGGAGATGACATATGAGGCGGCTCCATCTACATCTCACACCGCCTTTGATAGTTTGTAAGCTAGATGGAGGCATAAATAAAGCTATATAATGAATATAACTTTTTTCCTTTTTCATCAGATATAGCAACAATAGATTGGCTACTTTCCGCACATTGACTTTGGGGTGGTTGGGTACAAAACTCGAGCTTTACGATGCATATCAGATTCTCCCTGGGGACCCTGATAGCTTTTCTGAGGGAGAGACGGGCAGTTCCAGCTGGCCTTGAGGTGTGCCATGTGCTGGTTGGCTTCTAAAGAAGGACAGACCACAGTAGGAGGAAACTGTGGGCAAAGAAGTCAACTGGCAGTTCTGAGGTCAAGCTCCAAACTGAAAGCTCAAGGACAAAACTTGGAACTTGTGGTCTTGTGCTATCTTCCTGATCCTCTTCAGTGGGGAGCCCGAGCTCTGTGCTTGGAAGAAGTGGCATTGGGTCAACTTATTCAAGGATGGCCAATAATTTCAGGTAATATGGGGAGGCTGTGTGTGTGTGTGTGTTTATACATACTACATGCTTGCGTATGTGAGCTATATCTGTAGTAATTCCCACACATGTGTTTAGGCTCACACATGGATTTCTTTATACTTGCTATAGTGGTAACAATCAAGACACCAATTTCTCTCAAGGTGACTTTTCTTTTACTTTAAGGAGAAACAAAACAATAAAAATGATACAAAATTTCAAAATAAGATGACAGGAAAGTAACAATGGTTGTTACGTTGCGTATTGTTATCTTCAAAGTAGTTGCTCAGATTATCGGATACAGGCATGCAAACTGGATCAAACAATATAAGCTCTAACGGTTCCTTTCAATGAGCTAATAAAAATTAGTAGTACAATACTTAAGGAATTTTGTGAATATAATAGCATACAATGTAAGTCGTTAATTATAACAAAAGCTGTTAAGATATGGGATTCCATAACTAAAATGAACCATTAAGGAAAATCAACCAGCCAGAGGTCTCCTATAGGCCACCAGTTGTGACATAGCTTGTCATCAGACCACTCTGGCTCAAGGTCCAGTGGTGCACTGTGTGACCTTGGAAAGGTCATTGCCTTCCCTAGCCCTTGGTCACCTCACTGTGAAATGAGACAGAAACTCAATCCCTGGCATCCCCATGCTGAAGGTCACAGTCAGGGGTTGTGGGACCACGTGATACGGTAGCTCTGGGCTCGACTGTGTCTGCCATGTCTTGTGTTATGGTTTGTGCCTGGATGTCCCCTCAAAGCCTCATGCAATCACAAGTATGGTTTTGGAAAGGGGTTGGATGGTAAGGGAGTCATACTCACTGGTGAGTTAGTTCCACTGATGATATTATAGCTAAATGTGCTGTTAGGAGGTCTGGACCAGTTTGAAAGAGGTGGGTCATGGTGGGTGCGGCCTGAAAGAGTCTCTCTCCTTCCTTGGTTCCTCCGTTCTCTCCCTCTCTGCTTCTTGTGAGCAGCTCTCCTCCGCCAGGCCCTTCTGCTGGCTGTTCTGCCTTGGAGCCAGTCAACCATGGAGACTGTAACTGGGAGCCAAAATAAACATCTCGTGAAGTTGCAGATGTCAGGTATTTTGTCCAAGCGGTGAGGAAAATGACTAAGACATCTTGATAAGTGGTGGTGGGTAACACTGAGCTCTTAGAACCTCAGCTTCCTCCTCTGTAAAGCAGAGCTGCCTGTAGCAACCTCATGAGGCCATTGTCAGTTCAGGAAAGTGCTGTGCAGGGCAGCAGGGACCCAGGAAGAGCAGAGCTCTGGGCACCAAGCATGAGTCATGCAGAACCTCAAGTCAGGTGTCCTCATCTGCTTCCGCGGGTCATGGTGGCTTCACAGTCATCTCTCTGGCCTGGACAAAAAAGGCAGGGGTTGAACAGGAGGGGCAGTTGCTCTTTGCCTCCCCGCCTTTCTCACAGGCTCTGTGAAGTTCTCATTATCCTCCTGAGAAGCTCTCAGGCCTTCACAGGTGGAGAGCATTATCTGTCAGGACAGTGAGCTCCAGAAGGAAAAAAATCCACCCTGACGGCATCAATTTTACCTTTGGTCTTTCTCCTCAGGTTGGAGCTTCTTTCCAAAGTCACTTTAAAATGTTTTCAAATAAAATTTGAAGGAGGTTCTATGCAATAACATCCCTCTTTGAACTGACTCTTTTGAGGCTGAATGGTATTTCTGTTGCCCACCTCTGGTGAAACACTAATCACAGACATACAGAGTTCTGGGGAGCATCTTTAAATCCTCACAGGGGAGGAGATACATTAGAATGGGAGGAGCATGGTCGTGAAACTCACAGTTACTGAGCCAGATGCCTGGCAGTGGTTAAGCAGCACCCTCCCATCTTGAGCTGCACATGCCTGGGAGTGGGAGAGGGCATGGAGAGGGAGGAAGAAAGGAGCTGGGGTCATGCCGTGCTTTTCATGGACCTGCATGCTTCAGAGCTCCGCACGTACTTTATAAATTGCTGCCCAATCCACTTGGGTCAAGTTCTGCTTCTCTTCTCTGAAGCTGGGAGGACATTGGATGTGTTTAACTCCTGTGAGACTCAGGTTCATGACAGGTCACTATGGGATGTGATGAGCTAGAATATGACCCTTTTGAGAACTCTCTAGGCTGTGGGTCTACACTCATCCACACACAGCATTTCTTTCCATGCACTGTCCCGCTGTGTGCTGGACATCAGAGCTACTCCCCTCTTGCTGCAGACATTAGGCATAGTCATTTGCTCAGGGTCACTCAGCTTACAAACGTGGACTCCATAATCTATGCTCATTATTGTAATTACACATTGCTGCTTCTCTGTCTCTGTCTCTGCCTCTGTCTCTCTCTTTGTGAGGTAGGTACATAGATGTCATGTCCATGCAGCTCCTTGGCTCCGTGCAGTTCCTGGCTGGGTGCAGAGTCTCTTTCCTGGGGGGAGGCACATTTGGCACCAATTCAGTTGGCAGGGAATTGTCTGTCTTGCTCACCAAGGTGCTCCAAGCTCAGAACATGGCCTACATTTAGTAGGGCCTCCTAGAAGCTCACGAATGGGTGGAAGGGTCCCTCAAGGTAGCATCTTTGGGGACCACCACTTCTTCCACCTCCTTTCTGCAAGGGTCCCCTGGCTCCTGTTTAATGCATGAGCTCTGGAAGCAGTGCATTGTCACATGGCTCTATCTCCACTTCTGGTGGCTGAATTGGAATATTGGCCCATTCATTTAGGAGCTAAGTGGGCTGCTACCAAAGAGCTCCACCTTTTAGGCCACTCCTGCTCTGCTGTGGAGACCCCAGTTTCCTTGGGTCCTTGGCCCCTCACACAGCTGATGAGATGCCCCAGGGGAGCAGTGGTCAATGTGGCACGTAGGTGATAAACTAGCAAATCAGACTGGGCTGGTGAGAAAGGCCATGTGTAGACACAGAGATCATTCGGATGAGCACTCAGGCAGGTGCAGGGGTGTGGCAGGGAGTCTGGCTGGAGGGCATATGGCCAGCATCTTCAGAAACCATGCAGGGGCAGTGCTCAGTACAGTGATAGAGGACATGCAAGACACAGGAGTACATGGAGGAGGCCACCAGCAATACCTGCAGCATGTGGCCAGGTGGAGCCGAGTGGGAAGGAGTGTGGGGGTGTGGCTGGGCCAGAGAGGCTTTTTGCATGCCCCTGTGTGCCAGGCTTCTCTCTCCCTCCCACTTTCCTCCCATCCTTCCTTTCCTTCTTCCTCAGAAAAACTGTTGGGTGCTTAGTATGTCAGCAGGCGCTGCCTGGGGCAGCCAAATCATGTGTGAGCTGGGGCAGATACCTCTGTTCCCAGAGATCTGAGAGGCCATCACAGGGCAGTCAAGATGGTGGCCATGGCAAGAATTTAGTTCACAGATGAGTGTGTGTGTGGGGGGGAGGGGAGAGCCACAGTCTACTAATTAAAAAATAAATAGGACTAGGGGTGTCGTTCGGTGGTAGAACAGCACTCAGTATTCTTGATGCTTTGGGTTCTGTTTTCATCATGAAGAATGCAAGCACAAAATAATAATAATAATAATAATAATAATAATAATAATAATAATAAAAATAAAATAGAACTGTAGTAAATCTAAGAGGAGTCCTACCCTGTTCACTATAGTCCCAGTAAACTGGAAGATAGTTTGAAGGTCACTGCTTTATGTCCCTCCTGAAGTCCTCTCAGTTCATGTATCCTCATATAGATGGTTTGAAGTGCTAGGGTGGTGTAGACAAGGATCTTGGAAGTGGCAGGTTATGCACGGGTGTACTTTCTATTGTGCTTTTGTGCAGAGGACTTTCCATTTATATGCATTGCTCTTTTTACTGATCCCCAGTTATACCTGCAATGTCCTGAAAATTCCTCTTGCTTGAAATCTACTTGGCACACTGTGATTATATTAGTCATTTTCCCCTCAATGGGACAAAATGCTTGACTCCCAAAACTTAAAGGATGCAAGAAGTTTATTTGGCTTACGGTTCTTGGAGGGTTTAGTCCATGGTTGCCTAGCTTCCAGGCAGAAACAGCATGGTGGAAAGACATGGAGAGGACAGAACTCCTCAATCCATGGCAACCAGAGGGAGTGAGAGAGGGAGGAGCCAGGGACAAGAATTCACTCTTCTAGGTCGCAATCTCTTTGGCCAAACTTGAGTCTTTGGGGGAATATTTTAGATCTAAACTATAACAATGACATTGACAGAACTCTATATTAAAACTATCTAGACGGAAACAAGGGGAAGTTGATGCACTTGCCTCATTTGGGTTGTAGTTATGTGGAAGCCTCAGAGATTCCACACAAGGAAGATTTCTTGAATTCTAATATTTTTATAACTTGGTTTTTAAGAAAAGTGATAGGCTGATGGAGACCAGTGTTCTGCTATCTTCCCTGTGAGTCTTCAGGAGAAAAACGATGACTGGTAACATCTGAGAGCCAGGGCAGGCCCCTGGTTACAAGCTGCGGGGTCCTGAGGAGGACGAGTCTGAGGGTGCCCTCCCTGCCCATCTGCCCAGCCCAGGGAGGCAGTGATGTCCACTGTGTCCCAGAAAATTCCTGCACAGCATCTGCGTGACAAATCTCCTGTCCACTGCCCAGGAGCTGCTGAGGCTCAGGTGATCTGAGTCACCCTACACATTGCACAGTTGCAAAATGCCACCACCTTCCAAAGTCTCCCTTATTTCAACTTCTATCTGGATTTAGGCAAACCCCATGACGATTTCACACGAGGGATAGAAACAAGCTGGTCCCACCAGGCCTCAGGCCCTTAAGACCCATATGCCTCACTGAGTTTCTAGCGCATGGAGATCCGTGTCCATCTTCAGGCCCAGAACTTGCTCATGCCAGCCTGGTCCCACTGGCTATCTCCCCAGTGTGTGAGGAAAGGCCCTTAAACGCTTGTGTCCTTGCTTGCTTTCAGTTCCTGTTATCTTCAATAAGAGCCCAGCCCAGGTAGGTGATGCATTTATTGCCGTACTAGTGACCCTGTCCTTACAGCTCAAAAACATTATTTAAAAGTGAACTATTTATTAATGTGCATTCACTCTACCCTTCATTCCCTAGGAATCCATGGGCAGCAATTCCTGTTTGCTAGGCTTTGTCCTGGGCTCCTGGTGAGAGAGATAGAGACGACCCTGCCCAGTCTGTGAGATGCTCAGAGTCAAGTGCATAGCTCGGACACAGAAGGGAAAACTTCCATGCAGCGAGGAGCCTGCTGCAATGGAGGTAATGAAGCCAGGTGTGCTGCACAAGGAAGGCGAGCTACTGAGCACCAACATGGAGCAAGCCCAGGACGGCCTGCCTGAGCAGGTGAGCACCGGCTGCCCTCCTACAGGTAGAGGAAGGCGGGTGTGTGGGCAGCAACCTGGACAAAAACATGGGGTCAGGATGTGGGCTGTAACTGGGGCAAAGGAGACAGGATCTGACTTGAGAGACAGGCCCTTCCAGGAAGACCCGAGTCCCGTCCTGCATCTGTCGCCGTGGTGCTGGGGCACCCAGCGAGGATGGACAATGAAGGGTTATGTGAGCGGCTGCCCGCAGGCCCCTAGGGGCTGGATTCTAGAACCGTGATGCTATGAACAGCTGGGTGCCAGGTGGCTCAGGACCGCAGGCCCCTGCGTTCCTGGGTAAATTCGGAACAGCTGAGTATCCCTGGCCCTTTCTTCAAGGCACATTGTCCACACAGGCCTCCCTTTGGCAGAGAAATCAACTTTCATTCTTGGGAGCTCCGGGGATTTGGGACAGTTCAGAAAGCCTGCCCCTTCCTCTCCTTCCATTCATTAATTATTGTGGTCAGGAACTGCTGTTTATCAGGCACCGAGCACAGGTTTTGGGGCGAGATAGACCCAGGTGGAATGTCCTCCATCTGATACGATTGGACTCTTAGAAGAGCTACCAGACCACGGATGTTCGTTAATTAGGAATTCGGAGGCTGCCATTCAAAGATGGTTGATAAACAGCTCTAAGCATTATTATCTCCCCAGCCAACTGAGCAGTTGGCCGCCTCCCTGCCAAGCCACCCACCCCTGGGAGGGGAGCTGCTCCCTCGCACAGTGACAGCGTCTGATCCTCGCAGGCAAAGCTCTGCCAGGCAGCCTGGCCAGCCCTGCGGAGTGTGATGTGCACGGACTGCAGCCCCGCTCTCCACGGCCTCAAGCTCCTTGCCTGTGCAACGGGGCCACTCCGGGATTCCACTTGCACTGCCAGGGCAGGGAGGAGGTCACAGTGCTGAAGACACCGCCCTCAAGCTGCACAGTTACTTGCAAGTGGGGGCGTCTGACACACTGGAGCAGGGGTCTGGAAGCCACTCTTGCACTTTTCCTTTCTCCTTGGGATCACGTTGCCCTTCAGTTCCCCGGGGAATTCGACCCTAGGATAAATGCTCCTTGGAGGCTCATTCTGCAGAGGGCCCACTAACAGGGCTCAGCTACCTGGCTCTGAGCGGCTCAGAATCCAGTTCATGGTGGATTAAAAATACCCGGATGTGCATTCAGACTCAGGAGTGAATCCGGCTCTGTGCTTTCCAGCCTTTTCTTAACACACGGGTGTAAGCAAAGGAAATCAGAGAGAGGGTGAGAGGTATTTGGGGGCCCAGGAAACTTGTTCCTGGAGAATGGAGGGGAAAGGGAACAGGAGTCGTAAAACTAGGGCTGAGCAAAGAGCACTTGTGTTTTCCTCGGTCACCTGCTAGAGACAGCCTGGAAATCAAATGCCAGGCAGCTCCAAGGAAGTTAACAGAAACGGCGATGGAGGTTCAGTTTCAGGGCGTTCTGCAGGGGAGGAGGCGGGTTGTTTTACGTGTTTTCTACAGAGCCTGGGTGAGTGCTCGCAGTGTTCTCTGCCCATCCCCAGCGGAGGAGGAGACCTGGCTCTGTCTCTTTGTCCCTGGCCAAGATCCCATCGACAGAGGCTGGGGCTGGGGCTTGAGAAAAGACAGCTGGCCACCCCTGGAGGGGGCACAGCATCCTGCTCAGAGTGAGGCTGCGCTTGGCTCTGGAAGCCCCTTCTGGGTGGAGTGTGGGCTTCCCCCGCCACGTCTGTCCTGAGAGCTCCTGATGTATACTGTAGCATGGCGTGTTGTTTCTCTTCCTTGGTGGACGATGGGCTCACCTGTCTCCGCTTCTGGCACCTGATTCACTTCCTGGCACCTCTGAGACCCTCAGTATGTCTTTGCTGAGGGAACAAATGAACAGCTAGGAATGCCCAGAGCCCGTCTGCTGAATTGCAGAACGCTAAGCTTTTCATACCTCTTCTCCTGACTTGACTCTCACAAAGCAGCCAGGGAGGATGGGGACTGATCACCTCCATGTAACCAAGGGAGAGGCAAAGGAATAGAGAGGCAGTGGGTTGTACCCAGAGACAAAATACTGATGCCTGCTCAAGATGACTTGGTACCTAGGCCCTGGGCTTGTGCAAAGATGATGGGAAGCTGAGGGCCCCATGTCGAAGGCTGCTACAAACTCAGCCAAGAGTTCATCCCGCCCCGCCTCCCTTCTCCACTCCAGGAACCACTGTGGCACCTTGATTTTCACACAAACGGGTAGCTCAGCCAGTGCCTGGTCTCTCTGGAGCTGTCCCTCCTTGTCCACTTCCTGCCACCACACCTGACCTGTGGTGTCCACTGAGGCAGCTGCAACACGAGGCAGTCTTACATTCCCCCCACTTTCCCAAGAACATTTGACACTCAGGCCAGACACAAGGCCCTCCCTGCCACCAGGCCCCACTGGGGAGGCCACCGGCAGATGCTGGCTCACAGCCACGTGGGTCCATCCTGACGGGCCCCTGCTCATCTGGTCCAGCTGTGCATGAGCTTTAGAACTAATCCACAAAAATGTCCCTTCCAGCTTTGATTAGCTGGGTGGTGACATCATAGGCATTCAGGGAAGTGATTTTGCTGCACAGTCTGTTATATATGTCTTTGATTAATAAATGCTGGGCAGTCAAATTAATTATGTCTGTGAAAGTACAGATTGGTTGGCAAAAGAGTTTGAAAATCAGAAGTCTTGTCAACTGAGAACTGATTAGAGGGGGAACCCCCCAGGGCACAAATGAGAGGAGGAGCGAGGAAGTACTGTTTCTTAAGCTAATATCCAAACTCAAGTTTCTTGACCCAGTAGACAGTTCCCCTAATGTTGCACTAGCTGGGCAGGTCTTCCATGGAGGTGTGAGATTTTCATGACGTCACATCTAAGGCAGCATTCTCTGCAGTGCATGTGTGAGATTAGACGGTATACATGTATATGCGAACGCATGCATGTATTCACAGAAGCCTAGCCTGATGCTCATCAGGAAGGTTTCTACCCATCATATAAAGATGTTGTACAGGTTTCCTGGGGCTGCAATAACAAATGGAGTGACCAGAACAATGGAAGTTTAGTTCTTCAGAGTCCCATTCAGCTAAAAGTTTGAATCAAAGTGTCAGCCAGTTCTTTGGAGAACTGCACAAAAGAATCTGCTCCGGGTCTATCCTACAGCTTCTTTTTGCTGCCAATCTTGTCATTCCTTGGTTACTAGAGGCATCACTCTTTTCTCAGGCTTTCTCTTCATATGCTCTACCTAAATGTCTGTGGGAGTTTGTATGCAAATTCCCTCATTTATGAGGACACTGGTCATGTTGGATTAGAACCCACCCTAAAGAATGACTCCATCTTTTATGACACTATTTCCTAATAAGTACACATTTCAATGGATTGGGGTTAGGACTTCAATATGTTAATTTTTGAAGGGAACGCAATTCAACTCATATCAGGTGCCTTTAGGAACAGACTGTTTGGTATAATAATGAGAGTGCTGTTGGTGACGCTTTCCAGATCTCCCACTTGAGCAAGCTGATTTCTCTCACCTCTCGTGAGTTTCTTCACCTTGGGAGTGGACTGACTGATAATGCTAGGATGAAGTGTACAGGCTTTAATTGGTCTGACAAGGTGACAGGTTGAGGACCAGAGAGGTCGGCCCCTTGACCAAGTTCACACGGAGAAACTAGAAAGGCTGTATGGGCTCGTGGGATCTGATGTCAAACTAGCTCGCTCCACTTCACTGAGCAGCCCTCCCACCTTTAGTACATTTGCTCTACATAGAAGTATTCCCTTTCCCTATATAGTAATACAGATAGCACAAAGAAAAACTACCCTAGATGAAATATGGGAGATCTGAGTTGTAGAATTCAATTGGCCTCTACTTACCACGTGTATCTAGCTGTTTCAAGTTCTGATTAAACAGGAATGTATTAGCGTGTATTATATGTCAAAACCTTATTTAGCTTATTAGCTGGGAAACAGTAAGCATGAATGACTGACAGAGTCCCCCAAAGCAAAATCTAGCTTTGTGCTGTTAGTAAGACGCATATCTAAAAATAAAATGATTGAGAATGTTTGAAAGTGAAAGAGTGGCAGAAAACGTGAGACCAGTGCCGATCAAGAGTAGCATTCCAAACTAACATCAAAAGCATATTACAAGCCAAAAATTATTAGGGACTTGGATAGTTGTCACCTATAATGAAAATATTAGAATATATAATAGTCATAAGTTTTAATGCAACTAACAACATAATCTCAAAAAATCTCAGTACTTGGGAGGCTGAGGCAGGAGGATCATTACAAGTTTGAGACCAGCCTGGGCTACAAAGTGAGCTCAAGGTCAGCCTGAACTGACCTGACATAGTGAGATCCTGTCTCAAAAAAGAAAAATAAAACTTACCAAATACAGATTTTATCAGTTGTATTTCCTCTAGAAAGACCCTAGGTCTTGATTATTCTATTAACAAATTTTACAAAACTATCAGGATACAAAGAAATTGTTTTTTTCAAATTTGTCTCTGGCTAGACAGAAAGAAGGAAAATTATTGAGAGTTTTTAATGGCAGCATTAGCTTGACTTCCAAAGCTGGAGAAGGATAGAGCAAGAAGAGAAAAATCTCAAATCTTTTCACTGAGACTGAGGCAAAAGACATAAATTACATGTTAGTGTACCAAAGTTGGATATGTCTTAAAACATTTTATGCTAGACTTATCCCAGAAATGAAGGTTTTTGAAAGCCATAAAGTCTATTAAAATATACCACAACATCAGTAAAGGAGAAAAATCATCTCAATTGACGAAGAAAACCAAATTAATAAAGCAGAATATGTGTATTAAAAGAACTCTTGATACACTAAAAAGGTTAAGAAAAGAAGGTGTCTATTATCAAAGAAACCATAAAATGTCTCAATAAGTATCAGAACACTTAAATAATACAAAATGTGGTGTCTAACAGATGAACTCTATGAAAATGAAATTCCATCATATCAGAACGTGGGGGTGTGTTAGTCAGCTT